GTCAGAGCAGTAGTCCACCACGAGGCAGACGGGGTAGTTCGGCCTCCTGGAGTCCTTCCCACCGGTGTTCCCCTCATCACGATTTGAGCACGTCGATCCAGGCCGAGGGCTCGTCCTCCATGAATCCAGCGGGCGCAGTGGCCGACGTGGCCACGCCGCCGAGCTGCTTGAACGAGTCCGTGAGGATGTTCTCCTTGGTCTGGTCGTTGATCGCGGACACGATCATGACCATGTCCTCCTGGTAGCAATTCACGAACCTGCACAGCTTGACGAAGTCGGGCGGGTCGCCAACCATGCCCATGAACGCCGCCTCGAGCGTCTGTCTGTTGGCACGCCCGACCTCCTTCCCAACGAGCGTCTCGACCGTCGCACCGAACATCGTCGCCGTCGGGGAGCCGAGCTCGTGCAGCGCGAGAGAGGCGGCGGCCGCGTCCAGGTCCGCCCAGGCCGCTGCGGGCTTGCCGTTCGCGTCCTTGGCCGTCTTCGCCCCGTCCTTCATCCGCTGCAAGGCGGACCAGGCGCGGACCGCATGATGGTAGTTCTCCATGGAAAACTCGGGCTCCGACGAGTCGCCCAAGAAGCCGCCACTGCCGCTGCGAACCGCGCACCTGTCATCAGCGGCGTCGATGATCACCGTGAGGCGGCTTCGTCTCGTACGCGTCACAGCGGTAGCGTAACAGATATCAACATCCGTGTTCTCCACCTCCCCCGCCAGCTCGCCATGCACGCCCTCCTCCAGCTGGTCCTTCAGGTCGCAAGCGGGCTCCTTCGTCGCGTCGTAGCTCTTGAGGAGCATGGGCTGGCCACAATGAAGTCCCTTCGTCGCGATCATCAGGTGCTCCCTCCTCCTCCCTCTGCAGGCGAGGGCCCACGGGGGGGGGCCAAAAGGTGCCACACCGCCACCGCGGTCCACGAGTGCACGCCCTCCACCACAGACACCAGGCGAGCAGCATTCGGCGCCTAGCATGTCCAGCCTCCCCATTATTCATGTCAGGCGCGTGCCCGAACGAGAGGGAGGCCAGGTGCGGCAGGGTCTCCATCCTCCTCCCCCGCAGCGCCAGCCCGAAGAGCCAGAAGGACACCCTGGCCGTCAACTTGTAGTCCATCAGCGCCTGCACCCGCACACAAACGGGGACCTCATAGTTGTCGGGGTTCGCAATCGCGTCGGCTTCCTTCAGCTGCTTGTACCTCTCCTCGGTGGGCGCAGCACACCACGGGGCAGTCACCAATTCGCCCGCCATGCCACCACACAGCCGGGGGAGCACCAGGAACAGCACCCACACGGGCACCGACAGCGAGAAGCACGGGTACGCACGGTAGTTCCAGTTCATGATGCCAACGCCAGTGCCGACCAGAGCACGCGACAGCCGCGGGGCCGCCTCCATGTCCTTCGCCATCCACGCGTGTGCCAACTCCTCCTCCGTCATCCACCCCACGCAGCTCTCAGGCACCACGAAGGACGCGCGGTGAGACGCCAGCTCGTATTGGAGCTCGTCCTGAAACGCCTCGCGGCCCTCGCCCCCGATCGGCTGCACCATCTTCATCTTCAGCACGACGCGGGTGCGGTCCAGCACAGCAGTCAAGGGCCACCCCACCAGGGCCGATCGCAGGAGGAGGAGGAGGAGGAGGAGGAGAAGGAGTGCCATTTTGTCGCGACGCGAGCATGTCAGGGTCCCGTACCCCTCCGCTCCCGCTCGTCAACCCCGCCGCGGCGGGGGGGCGCTGGGCTCGCACCACCGCCGATCGGCGCGATCGCTTCCCGTCGCCTCGTTTGGGAGGGGCGTGGCCGCCTGGCCCGGGCGGTCTCTTGCGATCCGCCCGGCTGGTGATAATGAGCTGAATGCCAAGCGTGAGCTGCGAATGAGCGAGGACAGACAGCAATTTTCCATGGCAGCACACATCGCGTCGGAGTTGGATCCGTTTGAGCACGCGTTGCTCTGCGCAAGTCTCCAGGTCTTGGGCTTGAAGCGGCGACGGAAAAGGCAGGCTCTGCAGCCCCGACCTTGCAAGGAACTCACCGCGCAGCGGTCAGAGTGTAAGAACAACAAAACGCCCCCCCGATGGCCCCCCCTCGAGGCACGATGTGGACGACAACTCCACCTGCCTGGAACGGCTGGTTTCGCCGACGGCTGGTCTCGCCCGGCCTGTTTCACCCACCCGCCCGCTGGTTTCACCTGGCTGGTTTCGCCGACCCGCCCTGTAGGGTCCCGCCCGCCAGACCCGCCCGTTAGGGTCCCGCCAACTCGTGCGCTGACAAGACCGGCCGCCCGCTTTCATGTCCGGCCAGAGACGGACACGCACACACACACACACACTCACACACACACACACACACACGCACGCACACGCGCATACACATACTTTTTGGCGGTAGCGGCCTCGCGCGCGGCGACGAGGAGGAGAAGAAAGCGTAACAGTGCAGACCAGTGCGCGCGACGGCCGAGCCCTCAACATCGCTTATACACACCGGCAGACGGACGGACGGACGGACGGACGGACGGACGGACGGACACACAGACAGAAAGACGGACAGACAGGCAGACAGACAGACAAAGACAGAGACAAAGACAAAGACACACACAGACAGACAGACAGACAGACAGACAGACAGACAGACAGACAGACAGACAGACAGACAGACAGACAGACAGACAGACAGACAGACAGACAGACAGACAAAAAGACAGACAGACAGAGAGGCACACATCGGAGCGAGCGAGGAAGAAAGAGAGAGGGAGATAGACAGAGCACGAGAGAGAAAGAGAGAGCGAGCGAGGGAAGGAAAGAGAGAGAGAGAGAACAAACAAAACACCCAACACACAGACTGTAACCCTCAACAAATATTGATAAAGACACACAGAAGCATACAAAACAACGAACGAGAGATGCGTCGGGCGCCAGAGGGGGGAGGGGAGGGCTCATTGGCGCCGGTTGGTCGACGTTCCCCTAGATGGCCTCAGGAGACCCCCCAAGGCCCCCACCCCAGTGACGCCTCCCCGAACGCTGGAGGAATCGAAGGCTTTCATGGCTGACTCCTGGCTTCTTCGCGCCTCTCCGCTTCCAGGGCGAACTCACGAGTCCACCACACTAGGCCTTCACGGCGCCCCTACGGGGACCGTCCAGACCATACGAGAAATCACGAGAAGAAGGGGGGGCTACCCCACATCCTTGTTTCACTGCTTGTTCCGACGTGCGTTTTCTCGTCGTCCCCCTGCTCCCCCATCCTCGTTCCCTTGCTCCTGCTGCTCATCCACCTCCGCCTCTTCAACTACGTCATCGTCCTCCTTACGAGCTTCATCCTGCTCGTCTTCCCTCTTCTTTATACTATGGTTCCTACCCCTCTGTTCCAACAGCATGGCATCGGATCGGTTGATGAACCTGCCGGTATGTGTGCGCGCATCCGATGACGCCACCCATGGATGGCGCAACCCAATGCGCAAACTATGACGTAACCTATGGCTCAAACTAGACGAAGCCCAATAACGACGCAACCCAGGGCGTAACCTAAAGCGCCACCCATGGATGGTGCAACCATCGACTCGATCTATGGCATAACCTATGGCGTAACCTACGGAGTAACCTATAGCGCAACCCATGGGTGGCACAACCTATGGCGCCACCCATGCATAGCGCAAATTATGGCACAACCTACGGCTCAACATATTACGCAATCCATGGATGGCGCAACCTATGGCGTCACATATGGCGCAACCTATGACGCAGCCCATGGATGACGCAAACTATGGTGCCCCCCATGTATGGCGCAAGCTCTGGCGCAACAAATGACGCAACATAGAGACTGGCGAAGCGGGTTGCGCTACCTATTGCGCAGCCAATGGCCTAGAGTGACTGGCCCTCGCAAGGCTACGCCCAGTTTATGCTTCCCATTTGGGCTGGCTGCCTGGCCAAAGCGGCGACATGTCTTGTGAATACTGTGTTGTTCCAACATCAAGACGACGTTTCGCTTCCCACGCAATGTGGGCCACGCCCATCTCCTACCACGACATCAGCGGCGTCGACGACAAAACGTTGATGTAATTGTTTCTTGCGAAGCGGAACCGTCAGCTTGGGATTACTGTCAGAACGAAAACGATGGGAATCAGAGTGTTCAACAACAAAGCTGCATGAAGGCAGTAGAAGCAGGAGCAGGAAAAAGACGAGGTGGGAGAAAGAAAACTGGGGGGCATCGATCGGGGGGGTGACTCAGAGTGAGAAATCGGCGTGAAAGTGGCGACACATCGCCGATTGATCGGCGATAGGCTCTCGATGGCGAATCCGCGCATTTCTGGGCGGGGCGGGCTATCAGGTCTCCTATTGGCGATAAGTGGGCGACAGGGGGTCCATGCGCACCCCCCTGAACCTGTCCCCCTGACGTCGCCCCCTTGTTTTCAAGCCGTAGCTCGGCTCTCCGCCGGCGTTCGGGACGATCTGGGCACCCCCGGAAGGCTCTCGTCGAGGCGCAGGGCACCCCGAGGCTGAAAAACCGGTGAGAAGCAGCGAAAACGCCCGAAAACCTCAAACCTCGAACCCCCGCCCTGAACCTACGGTCGGAAGATTTTGTTTAGCGTGTTGTAGCGGCGTACACCCGGCGACACGCTACGGACCTTGAAAAAAATAAAAAAAAAAAACAGAACGAAAAAAAAAAAAAAGAAAAAAAAAAAAGCTAACAATAGAAAAAATAAAAAAAACAAAACAGATGAAAAAAGAAAATGAACAAACGAAAAAAAAAACAAATGAAAAAAAAAATAAAAAAGGTCGAAATAGAAAAAACCAAAGAACCCAAAAAAAAAAAAGAACAGAAAAAGAAAAAACAAAAACAAAGAAAAAAAGAAAGGCTGAAAAAAAGAAAACCAGCCAATAGCGTGTCGCTCCGCTCCGCGGGGCGAGACTCGGGAAAGCTCGGGGCACTGACGCTTGGAAATTGAGAAGTGGATAGTGCGTCGCGCCGAAGCGTGATAAAGGAGGCGGGCGGGGACAGATGCGAGCTTGATCGGCCCAGCCTCCGCCGGGCGGCCCTACAAGCCCGCACCGCGGCCAGCGTGGAGGCTCGACCACTTGAGCAGCGTGGCCACGCGCCGCGGCGGAGCGGCGGCACACCGGGGTCAGGAGAAACCCCTCCTCCCCCTCCTCCTCCTCCTCCTCCTCCTCCTCCTCCTGCTGCTGCTGCTGCTCCTGCTGCTGCTGCTGCTGCTCCTCCTCCTCCTCCTCCTCCTCTTCCTCCTCCTCCTCCATGTTTTTCCTTCTGAATAATTCTTCCCTGTCGCGCCCCGCGAGAATTCCTCACCACTCATGACCCTAAAGCGTAGAAGTTGGCAACCGTTTCGCAGATGGAGGGCGGGCCGTTTCCAAAATGTGGTTCTCGCCTGAGCGCCGCGCACATTCGTCGCACAAGTTTGCAAGAGATTCAGGGAATGAAGGCGGGTGGTTTTCAAAATGTGATTCTCGCTTGGGCGCCACGCGGATTCGTCACAAAAGTTTACAAGAACTTCACGGAATGAGGGCGGGTCGTTTTCAAAATGCGACTCTCGCCGTAGCGCCGCGCACATTCGTCTCAAAGTTTGCAAGAGCTTCATGGATTGAGGGCGGGCGATTCCAAAATGGTGCTCTCGCCTTGGTGCCGCGCACACTCGTCTTAAACATGTGCAAGGCGCTCGCGGATTCAGCGCGAGGCATCGTCGCCGACAGAGCGAAGAGGGGCGAGAGGGCCATCGGGCCGTGAGGACACGCTCTCGACTGCGGGCACCCCGACGATGGGCGCGCCGCGCGCAGCACGCTTCGCCCCCCGCCTCGCGCTCCGCCGCGACCGACAGGGCGCACGTGCCGCGCCTGGCGGGCGCACCGCGCCCGCGAAGCGTGACGCGCCACTTGCGCGGACGCGCAGGAGTGGGTGGGCGGGCGAAACTCAACACATCGCGCAACCCCCATCTGTCCCCGCGCGCCTGCCGCGGGGCGCGCTCGGGGGTCGCGCGTCAACTCGCCTCGTGACTTCGCGCGACTCGCGCCTCGCCGGCGCTGCCCCGCGAGGCATCGTCGCCGACAGAGCGGCGAGAGGGGCGAGAGAGCCATCAGGCCGTGAGGACACGCTCTCGACTGCGGGCGCCCCAACGACGGGCGCGCCGCGCGCGGCGCGCCTCGCCCGCCGCCTCGCGCTCCGCCGCGAGCGACAGGGCGCGCGTGCCGCGCCCGGCGGGCGCACCGCGCAAGGCGCGGCCGCGCGCCGCGGGCGCGCCTCGCCACCCAATGCGACGCGCAGGCGGCGCACGGCGTGCGAGGGGGTTGAAATGGCGAAATGCCGCCCTTGGCCAGCGCGTCGCAATCCGAACCGCTCTCGGCGAGGTGCTCCGAGAGAGCCACCTCCTGTTGTTCCGCGGGGAAGCGACTGCAATGCTTGAAAATGACCACGGGCAAGCGCCAGTCGCCCTGCGCGGCAACCTCCTCGAGCGACTTCCCGCTCGCTAGAAGGTCCCGCGCGCGACCTCTGCGCAGGTCGCGCGAACCAAAACTATCTGTGCCCGCCGCCCCCGCCGCGGACAGGACCGCCCGCGGGGCGCGCCGAATCTGCGCGGGCGACGCGGCCGCCCGCGGCGCCGCCCCCACGGGCAAAGCCGCAAGCCAACGCCCCGCGCCGCGCACTGGGCGCGCGCCCTAGCCACATTCGGCGCATGCGCGCGCGCGCCACGCGGTGCTCCCCCGCGTCTGGTCTTTCCGCGCTGGGAGCCGAATGCCCATTGCGCGGTCGCTGCAAACGACAATGCCGGCATCTGCGCGGCGGGCAAGGCGTCCGCGCCGCCGCGCGCCAGGGGCATCCCTTCGCTGGGGGCGCGCAAAAGAAAATGGCAACATATCACGAAGAGCGCGCGCCACGCTGCGCCCGTGCCTGCGCCAGCTGGCACGCGGGCCACGCGCCCGAGAACTGGCGACTGCGCGAACCGCGCGCAGAGGCCGGCGTGGCATCGCGCAGTGGCGCTCGATGGCAGCGCGGGCCCGCCCGACCGCGCGACCCCCGAGCGCGCTCGCGCCCCGCTGGAGCAGCGACGACACGGCGCGCAGGTGCGAGCAAACGTTGGCGAACGTACCCGTGCAGCGAAAACGCGGGCTGATCTGCAAGAGCCCTGCCTCGGCGACGGGAAAAAGCGGGCCTGGCCGCCGCGGGCAACCGCGCATACCCCGCGCCAGCGCCGCGCCGCCGTCTCGATGTCGGCCGCGGCGCGCGCCGCGCACGCGGGCGCGGCCTTGGCCTGCGCCTGCCCGCGCTAACGTGCTTCGCTGTCGGGCGACGCGAGCGAGCGTTGCAGCGCAGCAGTTGTCGCCTTCGGCCCGCCTGTGGGAGCCGCGATCGGTGCGCCACTCGCGCGATCGATCGCGGCTGGCACCGCCCGCAGCGACGGCTGGGGCCGCGCGGCGCTAGCGCTCGAGGACGAGCCGGAACTGTCGGAACTGCTGACCCGACGTTCGCGCCGCGCGTCTTGGCGCGCGCGAGCGGGCGAACGGCCGCGCGGCCTGGCCGCGCGCGCGACAACAGCCTGCCGCGCCGCGGCCGTCGCGGGCCCGCGGGAGACGCGCCGCGCGGGCGCCTGCTCGCAAGACGCAGGTGCCGAACAGCACCTGCCAACGACGCGCGCGCGTCGCCCCGCCCCTTGGAACCCCGGGGCCGCCCGCGGCGCCCGGGCGGCGGCGCCGAGGGCGGCCTTGGCCTTTGCGCGCACGCCAGCCACATAATTGACTGTTTGCATGCCTCGCTTGACTCAGCGAAGCCACGCCAGCCGCGCGCAGGCGCCGCCTCGTGGGCCAGCGCGAGGTCCCACGGCGACCATGCGTCGTTGCGCGTCAGCGCGGCACCCTTCTTCTATCAACGAAAACGGCGCCGCGCGTAAAGCACCCTGCAATTGCGTTGTCAACGACGCCATCGCGGCCGATGCGCACTTCTTTCGCGCGACCCCCGCAGCGCGCGCGCGCCGTTCCACGCGGCCCCGCCGCAAGCCGCGGGCGCGCGCGCCGCGCCGCTTGCTAGCCAGTCGCAAACTGCGCCGCGCGCTGGGCGTGGCCAGCTCCTCGTCGAGCGCCGGCGCCACCCGCTCGGCGCCGATCGCGCGCCACAGGCCGCGCACCTCCCCAGAAGGCGGATTCGCAATGTTCTCCGCGGACGGCACGCGGTCAACCCAGAGCTGCGCGCTTAGCTTGGCCGCGCGCAGCCAAATTGAGCGCGCCAGGCAGGCGTGGCCCCGCGCTCGCGCCGAGCCACGGCGCGCCCCGCACTCGGCGCCCGAATTGTCGGAAAACAAGAAAATTTGCTTGGCCTCGAGCTTGCTGCCGAAGGTGCGGAGGGCGAAGGCAATAGACAACAATTCGAGCGACGTGATCTGCCCTTCCCCGCGCGGCCGAAAATGCCGCAGGAAGCGCTCGGGCTGCTCTACGTTGGAGTACCACGCGCGCTCATCGGTCACGAGCGCCGCGGCGAACCTCAAGGCATTGCGCAACCCCCTCTCCCCCCGCGTGCCTGCCGCGGGGTGCGCTCGGGGGTCGCGCGTCAACTCGCCTCGTGACTTCGCGCGACTCGCGCCTCGCCGGCGCTACCCAGCGGGTCGTTTTTGAAATGGTGCTCTCGCCTTAGCGCCGCGCGCATTCGTTGAGAAAAAGTATCCCGGCAAAGCAACCTAACAGCGATGTGTAGGAGCATATCTGGAAGCATTCCCCTTAAGATTCAGATGAGAATTCAGTTGTAGAATTCTGCTGTTCTCGCAGTCGTAGTCGCATTCGCGATGACAGTCGCAGTGGCAACGGCAGTCGCAGTCACAGCCTCAGCCTCAGCCTGCCTCAGCCTCAGCCTGCCTCAGCCTCAGCCTCAGCATCGCCTGCCTCAGCCTGCGTCGAGCCGCAGCATCAGTCTGCCTTCAGCGTCCGGCCTCAGGCTCACCTCCAGCCTCAGCCCCCCCTTGCATTCGCCTCAGCCTCAGCCGCAGCTGCCTCAGGCATCACCTGCCTCAGCCTCAGCCTGCTTCAGCCTCAGCCTCAATCTGCCGTCGGCCTCGGCCTCAGCCTCAGCCTGCTCAGCCTCAGCCTGCATCAGCCTCAGCCTCAGCCTCAGCCTGCCTCAGCATCAGCCTGCCTCAGCCTCAGCCTCAGCCTCATCCTGCCTCAGCCTCAGCCTCAGCCTCAGCCTGCTTCAGCCTCAGCCTCAGTCTGCCTGCAGCCTCGGCCTCAGCCTCAGCCTGCCTCAGCCTGCTCAAGCCTCAGCCTTGCCTCAGCCTTCCAATCCCCTCAGCCTCAGGCCTGTCCTGTGTCTCAAGCCTCAGCCTGGCCCTTGCCTCAGCCTCAGCCTCATCCTGCCTCAGCCTCAGCCTCACCTGCTTCAGCCTCAGCCTCAGTCTGCCCTTCAGCCTCGTCGGCGTCATCCTCAGCCCTTCCCTCAGCCTCAAGCTGCATCAGCCTCAGCCTCAGACCTCACAGGCCTCGCATCATCCTGCCTAGTCGACAGCGCGTGGCAGCTCAGCCATCAGCCTCAGCCTCAGCCTGCCTCAGCCTCAGCCTGCTTCAGCCTCAGCCTCAGCCTGCCTCAGCCTCAGCCTCAGCCTCAGCCTGCTTCAGCCTCAGGCTCAGTCTGCCTTCAGCCTCGGCCTCAGCCTCAGCCTGCTCAGCCTCAGCCTGCATCAGCCTCAGCCTCAGCCTCAGCCTGCCTCAGCATCAGCCTGCCTCAGCCTCAGCCTCAGCCTGCCTCTGCCTCAGCCTCAGCCTGCTTCAGCCTCAGCATCAATCTGCCTTCAGCCTCGGCCTCAGCCTCAGCCTGCCTCAGCCTCAGCCTGCATCAGCCTCATCCTCAGCCTCAGCCTGCCTCAGCATCAGCCTGCCTCAGCCTCAGCCTCAGCCTCAGCCTGCCTCTGCCTCAGCCTCAGCCTGCTTCAGCCTCAGCCTCAGCCTGCCTCAGCAGTCCTCAAGCCTCAGCCTGCCTCGCCCTCCAGCCTCATAGGCGACTCAGAAGCCTTCAGCCCTCAGTCTGTCTGCCTTCCCGGCCTCGGGCCTCACTCAGCCTGCCCGCAGCCTCAGCTGCCTCAGCCTCAGCCTCAGCCTCAGCCTGCCTCAGCCTCAGCCTGCCTCAGCCTCAGCCTCAGCCTGCCTCAGCCTCAGCCTCAGCCTGCTTCAGCCTCAGCTTCAGTCTGCCTTCAGCCTCGGCCTCAGCCTCAGCCTGCCTCAGCCTCAGCCTGCATCAGCCTCAGCCTCAGCCTCAGCTTCAGCCTCAGCCTGCCTCTGCCCAGACCCCCTCTGGGGAGTCATGATGCTCTCTTTTGAGACCACTAGAAACCTATCAGTCTTCGCTGTTAGGTAATTTGCAGCAGCTTCACGGATTAAGGGCAGTTCTTGTTTTACGTGTGGTTTTCGCGTTTGCGCCGCACACATTCGTCGTACAAGTTAGCAAAGGTTTAACGGATTGAAGGCGGGTCATTTTCAAAATGGCTTTCTCGCCTGAGCGCTAGGCGAATTCGTCTTAACAGTTTGCAAGACCTTCACGGATTGAGGGTGGGTCGCTTTCACAATGTGGTTCTCGTTGTAGCGCCGCGCACGCTCGTCCTGTCCTAAACATGTCAAAAGGCTTCACTGATATATCAGAAGCGGTGGTTTGTACAGACTTACGATTGTGAGGGCGCAACAATTACGCTGATTCGCTGTGCTGAAGTACCAGGAATTGGTGCCATGCACAACTCAATATCGCCAAGACTTTGCAATCAGGTAAATTCGCGACGTCGAAATCCTGAGAGTGGTGTTTTTGCACGCGCCGGGATCTTTACACTGCTGTCCCCCAATGGAGCATTTCCCTCAATGGAAATGAACCCTTGTATGGGGCCTGCGGAGACGGAGCTTGGAAGGAGGGAGTATTCCAACATCGTTGATGGGTCTTGGTTTTACGCTGGTCCTACTCTCCCTCCTCCTCTTCTGCCTTCTTTTTCTGCCTCCTCGTCCTCCTCCTCTTCCTCCTCCTCCTGTTCCTCCTCCTCCTTCCCCTCCTCCTCATCATCACCATCAGCATGACCATCACCATCACGATCACCGTCATCATCACCACCATTAGCATTATCCAGACCATCATCATCATCGTACTCACCACCACCACCAGAATCATCACCACCTTCATCATCACCACCATCATCATCACCGTCATCATCAGCAGCACCATCAGCATCACCATCATCATCTTCATGGTGGTCAATGCTTCGACTCACCCCACGGACTTTCATCAGGAGGCGGAGGCTGTCTGGACTGCTCATTCACAGCTGCCACCAAACCTCTTGGCCTCGGTGAGGGACGGTGGGAGGGCCGCGAAACTTGCCAGCAACGACCACACATGGCTGCGGAGCGAAAAATAAAACTGCAAATGGAGGCACATGCCGCGCAACTGCTCACCTTCCCCCCCGTGGCCCGTCCAGGGCAGGTCCCATTACGCCACCGAGAACCCCCACATACCCATTTGAACTCTTGCGTCTACGACTACGAAAGGTCTACCACGACAACAACAACAACAACAACAACAACAGCAACAACAACAACAACAACTACTACTACTACTA